AAAAAAGGGGGGGGGGGGGGGGGGGGGGCAAAACCAAAAAAAAAATTATTCCCAGAAAAAATTAGGGGAAAAAAATCTTCCCAGGCATAGTGCAAAAAAAAAATTCCTTCCTTGGAAGATAGGCCTATAAATTTCAATTAAAAAAAAATTTCCAGCCATCAAGTGAGAAAAAAAAAATTTCTTCTATAGGCGTACAAAAAAAAATATGATCATTATATTTATAATGAACATTGATAATGTATTTTGGATATATTTAAATTTCTCTTCTGTTTTAGGAAATCTATGGTCGCGGTCACACTAGCGCTAGAATCGTGCTTGCTTGAACTAAATCCACTTGAATCGCTCAACACATCACCTTCCAAGCGCGCTTGCCAGTGTGACCGCGCAAAACACAAAACCCAAGCATGCTTGAAATCTGACACGATTTGCTTGAAATTTCAAAGGCGCCGAAGCACGATCCAAACACACTACAGGGTATGTTTGAATCGTGCTAGAATGTGGATCTCAAGTGGATTAAATAATTCAGCCAATAAAATGTGGAGTTTTAGGAGGCAAATAGACAAGTAATTTCAACATGTCATTTTCAATTTGAATAGAGACAGAACCGCGGTAGATTCGAACTATTTTGCTTACACAACAACGCGCTAAGCAGTGAGTCGAATGAATAAACGGTATTTCTGTGTGGAAACCTGAAGCAGAAACCAAATTCAAAGTTTCAAAGTAATTTAGTTTTTGCCCGTGTAATTATATAATATACAATGTTAACATCCCTATTTAATACATATCATATGATAATGAATAACGATCGGGCAAGCGATTTGCGCCTGAACTAAGGACAAAGACACATTTCTCTAAATGTTCTAAAGTCTAAACTTAGTTAGGCCCACGAAATCACAAGAATAATGTATATTCGTTGCATGACTTTAATATAATGGACTTTAGATTATTAGATAGGATTTTAATGTTTATCTGTCAACAACAGCAAGCAAGCAAACGCTGCTTTTTTGAGTGTGACCGCGACGTGCTTGGCTTGCATTCTAGCATTAGCTTGGTATGTGTTCAAGCAAGCACGCTAATCCGGTGGTAATCTCCAAGCACAAGCGCTAGTGTGACCGCGACCTATGTTCCCTTCTCTTAACTCTTAAGTCTGTATTCTTGCACACTGTATGTAAATATTTTACTATTTGTCTGTCTGTCTGTCTGTCTGTCTGTCTGTCTGTCTGTCTGTCTGTCTGTCTGTCTGTCTGTCTGTCTGTCTGTCTGTCTGTCTGTCTGTCTGTCTGTCTGTCTGTCTGTCTTGTCTGTCTGTCTGTTTGTAAGTCTGTCTGTCTATCTGTCTGTCTGTCTGTCTGTCTGTCTGTCTGTCTGTCTGTCTGTCTGTCTGTCTGTCTGTCTGTCTGTCTGTCTGTCTGTCTGTCTGTCTGTCAGCAGAGTAACTTAAAATATCAAACGTATTAATACGAAAATTTGTGGGGCTAATGGCCAAGGGCCAATTGACTAAAGTTTGGTTAAATTTGGGTGAAAATTGGATAAGAAAACTATAGCAAACGTTTGTCTTGCTTTGCCGTGTGGAATAATCTGCATGTGGAATTGACCCATTGTATTTAGGCAAAATAAATAACTATTATTGTAAATTTTAACTTTACCTATAATATTGTAAACTATAGACGTATTTCAATCTCTATATTGGTTGCATGCAGAGTCTATTTTTTAATCAATTCAATATATTACTGTACGTAATTCAGGTTGAAATTTAAATCATACTAGTAGCGCTAGCTCTTCATTGGAGCCGGACATTACTATATTTTTTATATATATAGTTTTAATTTTTTTGTACAAGTGCTATCACCCCCAAAACATTGCGTACTCTACTAGTATGCCATACAACAGTTAACAGACTCACTTTTCAATATATACACTAAACTAACAGATACTGTACACATGCATTAATGCTAACCCTAATTACCGGTTAAAAACCCTTCGAATTATTGTAACGTCTTCTTGGATGTTAATTTGATATACGGTTACGATTGTGTCCGTGATTCATTGCATTCATGGGATTTTCACAACATTAAAAAGGCAATGGAACATTGACTGAATCATTACTGGATGGCATGGGGAATAATGGCATGTTCAAAACAGTGACAGAAAAGACAGTAGAATTACGTTCCGACCACTGGATGGTGACTATAGATGGCACTTTTATTATGTATACATTAATATATACCTGCATGTTTCACAAGTTAAACAGAACATTCCCGTTTGTGTTGTGGCGGCACGGTACCAAAAGGTAATTGTTGTCTCAATGAAATGATATTTTCTTCGATACGAATAAAGCGTTGCTACACTAGTTTCAGTATAAATTGCATCGTGTCAACACGGCCTTCACCACAACTAACTTTTACAATGGCACTTACTTGAAAGATAACTGTGGTCAACTTGCACTACTGCCTCGTGTATGGTCACTTGCATCAGATTCAAAATTGTCAGAATAACTTGACATCGACAATACGTCACCAACTGGCTTATTCACTAAATCAGGACTTCTATCTGATAGTCTATTGTCTGAGGAATTTGATTTGTCCCGTGCCGATTCCATACTGGATCTCTCACTGTTACTGCGCGCAGCTGGCTTATTTTCGAAGCCAAGAATTTCATCTGACAATCTACCATCTGAGGAAATAGGTTTGTTTCGAAATCCCTTAATACTGCTGGATCTCTCACTGTTACTGCGCGCTTCAACAGCTGGCTTATTTTCTAAGCCAAGACTTCCATCTGATAATGCATCGTCTGAGGAACTAGACTTGTCGGGTAATTTCTGATTATTGGATCTCTCACTGTTACTGTGCACTTCACCAACTGCCTTACTGCATGATCAAACCTAGACTTTTATTTGATAAGCTACTCTCCAAGGAATTAGATTTTTCTTGGGACTCCTTACTGGATCTCCCACTGTTGCTGTACCTCGTGTTGCTTGCCATTGGAACTGTAGGTGATACATTTGAAAACGTTGGTAACTCACCAGGATTTGAAAATAGTTTATTGCTTGATAAAGGCTCCTCTAGTTCGTTTGGACAAGGATCATTGTAACTTAACAATCCATCAGTGTTGTCATCAGCAAGATTTGTAACTACAGCACTGAGTGGAACTGCGTCATTAATGTATGTCGCACCTAAATACAAAATAATGAAGTATGTTATCCAATATCAGTTGCTTTTCTGAGTAGAAAACAAGGAACGTCAGTTTTAGCATTAACATAACACTTGTCTGTTTAGTCGAATTGGTACTTTTTTCTTTATAAGGTAAGAGTTTTCGCTAGAATTTATCAACCGTCACAACAGTACCGTGAAGTAGTACTAATGTGCCCACGTAGTGTGTGCCCACAAATAAGGCGGCTGATGGTCATGGTTTTTCGCCTCTGTTTCAGTCGCAACATTACTGTTGCTCAACTGCACGGCTACATGGGACTTGGTTCTAACGTACCTGTTACGATTGGAGTAACCAACCTGGCTGTTAATAAGACCGGAATATGCTTTTTATTCAAGTCGATGGCAGAGTTTATGGTTCCAATATATACGCCCAACGCACGGGATGTGCAGCATGTATGGGGGGGGGGGGGG